CCTCTACCCAGGTGTGTCAAGCTGACACCTAAAGCTGTCCAGCACATCACCACGGAATGATGTTCTTTGTCTCTTTTACATTTTTTTTTCATTTCATAGATAAGTTCAGTTTCATCTATTGTGAGTTATTCCTGCTGGGTTTTGGTTTCTACATAATGTGACATGTCTTCTTCCTTTTACGTCTCAGGGCGGTTTTGTTTTGTTTTGTTTTGTTTTTTTATCAGGGATATGAGTTTACTACAGCCAGCATATAGTTGGTTCTTGTTTTTAAATCCATTCATTCAGCCTATGTCTTTTGCTTGCCCAATTTAATTCACTTACATTCAGGCTTGTTAGTAATAAATGTGAACTTCCTCTTGTTATTTGTTAATTGTATTCTGCTTGCTTTATTTTGTTGTTGTTGTTCATTTCCACCTCTTTTTATTATTTATTTTTGTGATTTTTTTTGTAGTTTTCTGTCACGCTAAGGTTGAATTCTCTCTCCCTCTCTCTCCCTCTTTCCCCCTCTCCTTTCACCCCCCCTCTCTCTCTGCAGGGTCTCACTATAGCCCTGGCTGACCTGTAACTCCCTGTGTAGACCAGGCTAGGCTTGATCTCATAGAGATCCACCTGCTTCTGCCTCCCAAGTGGGATTACAGATGAGTGCCATCACACCCAGCTTCTTTCTCTCTTTGAGTAACTGTTCTTATAGTAAGTTTGGTATGCTCACTGTTTTCATGACAGTAGTTGTTCTTTCATTCGTAGAGGAAGACTTCTTTGGGTATTTCTTGTCTAGCTGATCTAGAGGTGATCAGTTTCCTACATGCCCACTTATCTGTGAAAGACTATTTCTCCTTTAGTTTTGGAGAGTATTTTTTTCTGGGTGGAGTTCTTAGGTAGCAGGGGTTTCTCCCTCTCCTCCTTTATTTTGAGCACATCAGTCCATTTTCTTCTGGCCAGTAAGGTTTCTGCTATACAATCTGCTGTGAGTCTGATATTCCCTTATATGTGACCTAGCACTTTTCTCCTGCTGTTTCAGTATTCTCTCTTTATCATGTGCCTTTGTCATTTTGACTCTAACTATTGTACTTTGAGCTTCCTGAATTTAGATATTTATATGTCTTTAAAGATTTTTTTGAGCATTCATTATTCTATGAAACAGGTTTTCCAGTGTCTTTTCCCTTTTCTTCACTTTCTTCAATTTCTTTTGTCTTGATGTCTGCACATCCAGGGTAACATTTTATTAATTTCTTCAAATTTTATAAAGTTTTTGTAGGGAAATATTTTGTTAGAAGAGATGCAAGATTCAGTTGGATAGGTACTTGAGGTTGGACAGTATACAGTTCAGAAGCAGTCTTTGTGAATTCTTGGTCTTTGATTGATGTCAGCAGTGTCTATCTTACAGAAGCTAATGGTATAGGCTTATAAGGGTGTGTCTTGGGACTCTATAGAAATCAAGCCCTGATGGCCCTGAGGCTATTGGGGCAGCTTTGGTAGTATGGGATGTGGAAAGGACTGTCTCTAGGTCCTTCAGGGGAAGCACCAGTGACACCAAGGATTGCAGCACTGGTTCTTGAGCCATATGATGTGAAGGAGACCCTCTCCAGGAGTCTCAGGATAAGTGTGAGAGATGTTGGGCCATGAGGCATCAGCGGCTACAGTTCTAGGGTCATAGGATGGGCCTGAGTATGGCCTTTCTCAGGCCCCACAAGATGAGTATAAGGGTATTAGCATCTGTAGCCCATACAGACAACTTTCCAGCCCTTGTTTTGTGAATTAGCAAATCCACATTTGCTTCCTACCCTTGGTCTCATTTGCTTAAGATTGAATATCCATTCAATAGTCCAAAAGGCACGAGACTCCTAAAACAAATATGGCATGATAACTTTTCCTCTCATATGTCATTGGCCAAATAAGCTATTATCTAATTTCTTTTAAGAGTAAGGGAAGTTGGAGGTTACAAAGGATTCTTGAAGCAGACATCTGAACACCTTTGTTTCAGCTCATAGGGGCTAGGTCTGAAGGTGCTTGTGTACTCTTGCCTTGGTCAACCGTGACATATGCTGATTTGTAGCTGTGTGTGTCAGAGGAGCTCCACTGGAGCCCAAGGTAGAGCCTTTACCAGAAAATGTATTTCTGTAGCTCAAAATGAGGAATGAATAGTCTACGCAAAGAAGTAGAAGAACAGTGTCTCAGAAAGTGACTTACCATTGACCACTAAAAAGCAAACAAACAACACTCCAAGGAGGTAGTGGGCAGGTCTGCTACATATCTTCTTTCAGTGCAAATTGAAAGCAGTATAAATCTAGGGTATCACATTGAAGTCATTCTATAGTCCCTTTGCTGAGTATCTTCTGTTTAAAAGTTCTAAGACTAGACACTTGAGTGAAAAATAGAGACAAGAGGTCTTAGCTATGAAGCATACCTATACACAAGTATTAATACAGAAGAGGCGCATGCCATCAGGGGAGAAGAATGCTATGACTGGCAACTAAGAAAGCATCAGTGAGAGGAGTACTCCTGAACTGAGTACTGACTGTAAGAGAAAAGGAGGGGAAGGCTGTAGACAGAGGAAACTTACCTCAGCCTGTGCATGGGCAGAAGGCTGCAATACCGGATGTCTGGGCAAGGTGGACCCTGATAAGATTGGTGTGGGACCACAAAGAGCTTCTGTCAGAGAAACAATACACAGACTCATGTGCTCCTCTTCCCCAGCACTCCCTGGTGGGCACCCAGCTTTACTGTGGATCTGAGCTCCCTTTTCTACATCCCTACCCACTGTCCAGATAGCCTGTCTTCCTACATCACCAAAAGACAATTTGGTACCCCCGGAAATCTATTTTTAGAATATTGGAGTAGAAAATAAAGAATGGGAAATATGAGACTATCTGGTAATCTTTTATAAATGAAAGTTTTCATGTCTCTGAAACCAAGTAGTTATAGAAAATCCAATTGTACTAGCTTCCCTAAGGGTGAAACCCTTAAAAGCAAGCCATAAATACTGACATAGTTTGCTTCTCTATTCCTGTGTTAAACATTGTGACCAATAATAGTGAAAAGGTTTATTTCATCTTACACTTCCAAGTGACAGTCCGTCTTTGAGGGAAGTCAGGGCAGAAACCTGGAGAAGGGAGCTGAAGCACAGACCACGGAAGAACGCTGTTTACTGGTTGGCTCCCCTGGCCCTGCTCAGCCTGCTTTCTTATACAACCAAGGACCATCTGTCCAGGCCTGGCACTGCCCACAGTAGGCTGGGCCCTCCCACATCACTCACTAACCAAGAAAATGCCCCACAGACATGGCCACAGGCCAGTCCAATAGAGGAAATTCCTCAGTTGAGCATCCCTCTACCCAGGTGTGTCAAGTTGACAACTGAAACCATCTAGCAATATCAGAGGAAGCTCTTTCAATTTGAAAAACTGGAGAGATTTGAATGCATTAAATCCTCGTCCTTTCTCACATTACTTTTGATTACGCCAAAAAAACTACATCTGTGAGTACCCACCCACTCTCCTGGACGATGACTGGAAAATTCTGCATTCTGCTTCTGAAAAGCATTCAGGGCTGCTTTGCTGCAGCAGGACCATGGGGTTCAAGGCACTTTTATATCTGCCTCTTGCCCTGTGCTCGCCCTTCTGACTTGGCTGCAGTGATGGATCTCTGTAGTCACCATTTAAAGGGCTCATGGGCCCTCACTTCCTGGTCTAGAATCAGGTAATAATATGACCAGAGGCTGGGATCACATTGCTTCTTAGCGAAATAACACATCTCACTACATCATCTTTTGGTTAATTTGGTGTCTCCTGAATTTCTTATAATTCAGATTTTTTTGGAATTTTTTTTTCTTCTCAATTTTGAAAAATGCCCATTGAGGTCCTCTTGTCTGTTAACATGTTGACATGTGCCCCAGCACTATACTGTTTGTGAAATAGTCTCCCTTCCCATGAAAAGATATTTTACTGATGCCTCTGCTTCCTCCAAAGGGTCAGCTGCAAGAGATCAGATATGGATTCAAGCAAACACTAATGTCATTTTCTGTTGCCCAGGATTTGCCTCCCTGGCTCACATCCCCACACCTCCTTGGAGAGTACACCCTGCATGTTTTCTCTGCGTGTTCTATGCTGGCTCTCAGGCATCATCCATAAGCTAGGAAGCACTGCTCTCCTAGAGCCATCCCTAAACTGTTGCTAAGCATCTCAGGCTCACCTGAAGATGCCCTTCCTCTCCCCAAGATTTCAGGAGTGTACAGTGTTCTCTCATCTGGGGAGTGTTTCCAGAGCCTGTATTTGTCCCATCATGTGCTCACTCATTTGATCATTCACTTGGCAGATGTTTATCAGGTGCCTGCTGTGTTCTGTGAACTGACCGTGGTTTCATGTTCACGTCTAGGAGAGCCTGACTGTACCCGCCTACTGAGGCACCCCCACACTGGCACAGGGAACCGTGTTCCCCAAACATGTTTTTCTAAGCTTTATTTTCAAACCTGTCATTTACCAAGGATTTCTAAACCATGCTGAGACCCTCCAAAATAGTCTGGTTTGAATGCTGAAATTTCTCTGAATTTTCAGTGGCCTATGGATTAAATCAGATAACGTATTTGAGAGGTAGTTTGCTTTAATTTTCAGTTTTTCATTCAGCTCATTCAGAAAATGGGCAGGTGATTTTATAAGACATTTGATATACTACATATTTGTAACTTTAACCAAGAAAACTTAAAAGTCCTAAGGGTATATGCAAATATGTTACGTTTGATAGTTAACTTTTTCTGTATTTTCTTTTCTCTGTTAACCTGCAGGAAGTAAAGGACCCAGAGCTATAAAATTCTTTGGGAGAGATAGAGGGGTTAAATTGAAAGTGAGACTGAGCAGGCCTGCTCAGTGCAGTTGGTATCTCTTCCAGGGAGGGTTGTCCACTGCAGTGCCCCTCAGGGCAGCTCTCCCGCCCCAGTCTGCATCCTTTGGGCCGAGTGTTCCCTGTCCCTCAGGTTCACACTGCTGTTTGGCCCTCTTGCTGTGTTCCAGTCTCCATCTCCTGGCAGTTCCTCACCCCTGGGTGCCGAATCGTCCAGCATACCCCTTCATCCCAGTGACCCCACAGAAGCCTCCACAAATAAAGAGGTAAGACACCATCTTGTTCCCAGTGTCATCAGCCTCTTTCACTTCATCCTAATACTGTTTTGTGTTTTCTCCAACCTGTCAGAGCTCCTGACCCAAACTACCCTCAGGAAGAACTTTTTAAATATTATTTTATTATTATTTTTTATTTTATGTGTACAAGTGTATTGCCTGCATGTATGTGAGTGCACCTGTGTCATGCAATGCCTCAGAGGTCAGAAGAGGGCATCGGATTCCCTTGGAACTGGAGTTAAGGACAGTTCTTAGCCACCAGGTAGCCGTGCTGGGAATCGAACCCAGGTCCTCTGCAAGAGCAATCATGCTCTTAACCACTGAGCCATCTCTCCAGCCCCAGGAAGAACATTTTTTATTTCCCCTCTGTAGTGTGCAATCTGTCTATGAAAGCTCTGCTGTCTTATTTGGTAGCCACAGGTATCTGTTAATTAACAAATAAAATGAAAATTCACATCCTCAGGCATACTATTTGAATTTCAAGTGCTCAGTAGTCACCTCCAGCTTCTGCCATGGCTGGGGCAGGTTACAGAACTTTTGCATCATCTGAGAAAGTTCTGTTGGCATCACTGGATATTTAACCTCAAAAACTTATCTGCCAGCCTCCTTCTTCAACAGAGCATGTGTGATGATGGGATGCTTGACTTCTGCACTGTCGGGGTACTCACTAACTCATTAACTTCACATACCCATTGAGCCCTTGAAACATGGCCAGTAGAACTGAAGAACTGAAATTCCTCATATGGCAAAGGGCTTCTCAAAGAGGTTCTCAGGTGTCCCTAGGAGACAAGTTGTGTGTTTATCCCACTTACAAGTGACACATTGAAGTGGCAACATGCTGCCAAAATTTCTGGGGCTAGAAAAGAGCAGGTGTTTTCCCCTGATTGGAGCCACTGCCTATTCTAGTGCCCAATGTCCTTTTACACCAAAGTGATAGATACACTACCTGTTGTGGGCATGGCTTACTCCTAATGTAGATGTTCCTTCAACACTGAGGAGACATGGTAAAGAGGTAACTCACATTGCCTCATGGTCTCTCGATGTGCTGGCAATTTTATGTAAATTTAACTGGGAAAAAATGTTTTAATCTGAGTGACAAATTGCTTCTAAAATTTCTTAAAGTATCATAGAATATGTATACTATTTGTGAAAGAGGTTTTTATTAACCTGTTTATATTAAACAAACAGAGGAACTTCTTCCTGAAATGACACTAGCATTGGAATTTAGACTAGAAATGTGTTTTCTCTTCCTCTGGTCTATTCACACAGTCTCTAGGCCAATGAATGTACATGACAGGGTCACAGTTTCTGCTGGTCCCCTCTTCCATTTACTTCATACTTTATTCATAGCACATGAATGATAAGGACAAATAGTAAGAAGGAAAGAGTGGCAGCTGCAATGACAGCAATAATATAGACTGTCATTTCTTAAGCATGTGTTCCAGGAACCAGGTTGAGCAATTCATAAACTGTCTTCCATTCGATCCTTTCAACAGTTCCTGTGGGGTGGATATCATTGTTGTCATTCATTAGTGAAGAAAGCCAGGCTGTGGGTACTTTACCTGAGGTCCCAGAGCTCACAAGAGGACAGCCATGATTTGAATCCAGAGGTCCTGTGGGGTGAGGCTTTGCCGCATATAGAGCAGAAAGCACCTCCAGGTCACAGTCTGCATGGACAATGTAGCTTGTGGGCCATTATTCCAACTGGCAGGTCTCTGGACTCTCTACAGAGTTCGTGTAACCCCTGAAAAACTTCGAAGTCTCAGCCTTTAACTTCTTTGATGTTTTTGTTTGTTTGGGTGGCTTCCAACTCACAGGCCTCCTACCTCTGCTTCTCCAATGCTGGAATTACAGGTATGCCCACCACATCTACCCTTGCCTTTAATGTTTTAAATACAACTTTATTAATTCTTGCTAAGGGCCAACTGATGTTCATCTCAGTCTACATGTGAGAAAGCGGGGTTAATCAGGTGTCTGAATATTCAGCCTCAGATTATGCATCAGATATAATAAGCAAGGCAAATGTGTTCATTTCTCAGTTCCTACAAGACTTGGCACGTTTATCTGCATATCTTTAGAAATAATGGTGAAAATCCTCTTTGTGTGCAATAATTATTCTTTCATTTCACAAAACTCTTTTTAAAAAATATATTACCCCAGAAATGAAAGAAAGTTGGTCATGCTCTCACAAATAGATAAGTGAATGTACCAAACGCCCACTATTCTCACTCTAAATAAAATAGTTTTTATAGCTAGAGACTAAAGTAATTCTTCTGTAGCTTCTGCTAAAATATAGACATTCTCTTTGAAGTTAGCATTTAGAGAAGTATCCTAGTAGCCAAAGAACATCTGAATGGCTTTTTAGATGTAACTGGAGACAAAGCCATTTTGATCCAACAAAATAAATTCTCATTTCACCTGGAACTGGGAACAAGGGTAAAGAGATTATTGGGAAATAAGAATTACAGTCTTTGGCCCTTGTAAAGAAGCTAGCTTCTTCTACGCACTATAATAGTATAGGGGTTTGTTTGTTTACAAGTTTGTTTTTTGTTTTTGTTTTTTGTTTTCTCTCTTTAACCCAAATCAGACAGACTTGGCTACTTGTGAGTAACCGGAAGGTGAACCACAGGAAATCACTGTTGGATTTGGAGCTCTTTCTTCCTGTCCACATATCTTGCTTCACATATGCAGTGCAGTTTTTCCACAGATGCATTAGCAGCCAGCAATTTGGTTCCTGGTACCTAAGAAATCCAACTTCTTTTTTGTAAGGTGCCATTTCATCCCAGTGAGCACATTTGCATGGAGCCCCCACTGAAAAGTTGCCCTGTGAAGTCTGCCATACAATTAGTGTGGAATTCCTGTCATTGTCCAGAATGACAAGGTACTCCAATTTTCCACATAAAACAACTGACATGTCAATGTTAGAATATTGGGTAAACTTAACTAACTAGCTATTTTGCATTCTCACTTTTTAAGTTAAAAGAGTTGGGGCTGGAGAGATGGCTCAGTGGTTAAGAACACCGACTGCTCTTGCAAGAAGACCCGGGTTCGAATCCCAGCACCCACATGGCAGCTAACAACTGTCCATAACTCCAGTTCCAGGGAATCTGACAGCCTCTTCTGTCCTCCGTGGGCATTGCATGACATGGGTGCACTTACCTATATGCAGGCAATACACACATACACATAAAAAAATAAAAATAATAAATTTTTTTTTTGAAAAAAGAGTTGATCCCATTACATCCCAGTCTTCACCCAGAGCCCTCTCATCTGTCCATCAGGTAACCTTGAGCAGCTATACAGGAGTCAATGCCCTTCTCTCCAAAAGGCCTATGTTTAAATAATCACATACTACATAATAGATCCTTTGTAATGAAAATCTTGGCCAAACCCTACCTCTTGCTCATTTTAGTTATCCTCTTTTTAAATATGATATCTCATATGATGCTTGTATCACCCTGCCCCGCATGTCTCTGTTACAAATTCTGTTACTGTAGGAAGCAGAAATGAATTTTCTATGCTTATCTCCTTTAGAGCTATGTCTAAGACATTTGCTTCTGCAATAGGCATTGCAGGCTTTGCTCCTCTGTATACTGGCATTTAAACTCCCATCCAGTCAGGTTGGGAAGGATCCTACTTCATCACATCAACATGCTGTGAAGGCCTACTTTTGCTATGAGATGTTACTTAATTCAAGAAATTCTGAAGTTTTATATTTGCTTTCATTTTAAGAAAACACATTAATGATTAACACAACAGAATTTTTCAACTGAAACAAACCATGAAAGACAAAAGGAAGGTAAACTCTAGTGTTCCTTTTTAACATAGATTCCTGCAGCAAAGGCCTAAAATAGAATTCTACAAGGGAATTCTTACTTTCTTTACATAGGCCCAGTGTCATCTTTTACAAATCAACAGTTTTCCATATTGAATATATTAAAAAGAATGTAAATTATTGTCTTTCTTGCCATTGCTGATAATAGATATTTTTTTAATTGACAAATACCTTTCTCTGAAATGTGGGGGCTATTTTGATCACTTTAGTGGGCAGTTCTAAGTTTTTGGTAACTTTGAAGTGTGGAGAAATGTATGTCGATGACTAGTTAACAAATGCCACTGGTGACAAATATCACTGGTGATAGATTTCTTTTTCATGTTGCATGGATGGTTGTGCTCATGCATATTTCATCACTCTTTGCCCTTTCTGAACCTCTTTGTCTTAATTACAGTCAAGAAAAAGCTTGGCTTCATTCCCAACCTACGTTGAAGGTAAGAGCTGAAAAGAAAATATTGAGCACTGAGTCATTCATGAATCTTCTAGCATTGCGGGGCACTGGATATAAAAATGTAGTGCTGGGGAGGGGGGAGGGGGAGATCACAAATTCATTATTTCTGAGTACTAGCAGTCTTAGGATCCTAAAATGTAGTAACTGTAAACCTTTGTGAATGATAGGGGGTTCCCATCAGAGACTGAGGGGTCAGGCTGGGGGCTATGTGCATGTTCTACCATGAAGCTGCACTCCAGGCCAACTGGCATGTTGTGAAGGTCCTTCCTAAACTATTTCTAATTTCCATGTTTTGACCATGACCCTTAGTTTGTGAAAAATGAATAGATTACCTCTGGACCCTAGTAAGTAGCTTATCATGGGAAGCTGCTGTGTGACCCACCATACACTAGACAGTTTAGCCTCCAAGAGGGAAAGCAGTGTTTCCTCTTCAGATTACTTAATTTTCAGAGCCTGAGGTTTCACAGTGGGTTAAAAATGTCTATTTTGTTCTCCCAGATTTGTCATTCAAGTCAAAGAAAATGAATATTTTATTTTTCAGATTAAAATGTCTTAGTGAACCTGTAATATGATATATAATAGTCACAGGCATGTTTTAATTTGGGGTATAATTTATAGGTGACTGTGATTAGAATCAAATGCCTCTGCATTTAAAACTAAGATTTGATTTAGTAGGCTGGTGAATGAAAACCTAGAATTCTGATTTTCCTTGGGATTGACCAACATGTGAGGCCAGAAGCATCATGGTCCGTAAATTGACAAGGTTGGCAGCTTGGAACCAAGTAGTGTTAAACTGCAGAGTTGGAGTCAGAAGCTGCTATAGGAATCCAGACAGCCTAAAACAAATATCCTATTTTCCTCATGTATAAAGCACATTATAGACCTAATAGAGGAGGAAATTGTGAGTGGGTAGGAAAAACAGAAGTGCCAGAAAAGGATGTTTTCCAGTAAGACAGCTTTCTGTTCAACTAACCATTCACCCAAGCAGACATCAGTTGATACCCACAAGGTGGCAGACACTCAGACACAAAAGTCAAAGATGATTGTGACATGGCCTTTGTTCCCAAAGAGCTCACAGTTTTAACACTTTCAGTCCTGAATAATGGGGTCAGGGTGGCGGGGGGTTGTTTCTCATATGGGCCTCACACGTTAGGCAAGTGCTCTGTCTGGCAGACTTTGAACTGACTGTCCTCCTGCTTGAGCCTCTGGGCAGTGGGGATCACAGGCCTAGCCAAAAAGCAACATTCTTTATCACCAGACTTTGTCTCATATTTAAATAAATACATTATTTTTCATAGTAAATGATTTCAAGAAATTGTGCCTTTCACCTGAAAAAGAGGGATGAGTGCAGGCAGGCATATGCCTTAGACCAGAAGATTAACCACCTGTGTCAGCAGTTAGCATAGGGGGTGGGGCTGCAGCATCTGGGGATGTGTTGTCCCTCCAATGACATCATTCACCACTATGACTCTGTGTGTTACAGTTCCTGGACCTTGCGACCCTGAAGATTTAATCGATGGAATTATTTTTGCTGCCAATTACCTTGGCTCTACGCAGCTGCTCTCAGATAAAACTCCCTCCAAAAATGTGCGCATGATGCAGGCCCAGGAAGCAGTAAGCAGGATCAAGGTGAGGAGGTCCATGTGGTCTAAGGGGTGGTGGGCAGCTGCAGGCACTTGAGCAGTCCACATTATCAACCCATAAAGTTGTTCATGCCTGGCTAACATTCTAAACAGATTTCCAGTGTGTACTGGAATTTCACATATAAACACTATTCAGATTGTAACTGAGAAAAAATACATAATGATTATAGATTTTGATATACATATAATGAGGTAGAATGTCATTTTGATCATTATACCTCAAAAGTGAGGTTACAGCCACAGCTTTCCATTCAGAATTAGAGGTCGGTGATCCAAACAGCCATGTCAGAGTTGATTCAAACCAGCTCACTTCTAGTAAAATGAACCATTTGATCTAATCTAACTTGTTTGACACAGTCATAACCTTTGTGAATCTGTTCTATCAAGACTTAAAAGGAGAAAGTCAATTGGATCCAGCAAGAACCAATTTCATCCCGTTTTAATAATTCACAAATAGTTTGAGACATGCAAAATGAGTTTGATGCTACAGAAATGCAGAACTCTAGAATCTACTATGATACCAAAGCCACCTAGACTTATAGACAAACTGAGACAACAGGAGACACTTACTGTGCATCATGCTGCCCAAATGCCAGTGTTCTCCCAGTATATGAAGCCACACCCACAGAGGCAGGCTAAAGCCCGGAACCAGAAATTTCCAACAAATTGAAATGTTCGGACCCATCAAAATTGGTTTCATTCTAGTTTCAACTGTTCAAAACTGAATCTTCCCACCTAACCAACCCCCCCACCCACACACACATTGGGGAGCCATTCCCAAAGAACACCCTGCTGCTGGCATGGTAACCCTACCAAGGAACCATTCCCAAAGTACACCTGCTGCTGGCATGGTAATAAGGAATGTGAAAGGACAAGAGAAGGCAGTAAGAGAGCTTTACCTGTGGATCAAAGAAAAGATATCCTTGAACACTTTTTATGCAGGACATCAAAAGAGGAAAAGTAGCAATTCATGAAGTGAGTTCCTTACCCTAACCTCAGTATCTTAGAGAAAATTCAAGAACCAAGCCAGTAGAAGTGCCAGGTGTGTCAGATGTGAAATGCCACAGGAGCTTAGGGAAGGCCTTGAGAGAAGGCATCACCCCAGAGGCAGAAGGTAAAGGACTGACAACTCAGAGAAGTGCTTACAGGGAGAGGTGGTTGTCTAAGCCTAGCTAAGACCTGTCATGTGTCCAGGCTCTGCCATGTGGTGAAAATCAAGCATATCATTTCCACTGTTTCCCTTATTATGACTTTGAGCCTTGTATTAGTTTGTTGTCACTATGACAAATGCCTGAGAGAAACAATTTTAAAGGAAGAGAGCTTTATCTTGGTTATGGCTTCAGAGATATTAGTCCATATGGTTGGATATGATTTCTGGGCTGTGATGAAGCAGAGCATCAAAGGAGAAGCACATAGGGGAGCAAAGTTGATCACCTCATGGCAGCTGGGAGCAAAGAAAGGAGACAGGCTCACTTGCCGTCCTCTCCAGACACCTGCATCAACACCCAGAGACATCCTTTACTATCTATTTGATGTCTCCCAAACCAATCAAGTTGACAAGATTAACCATCACAAGTTCACCTCTTACCAATTTAACGCTCCAAACACATCTGCTCAAACACTACTTAATCTCCAAATAAAACAACAAGGACATAATAACTCTGTCTAATTCCTTTCTTTCCCATAGTCTCCTCTGTGACACAAGGCAAACTCTCAGCTGCGAGCCCCAATGAAAATCAAGTTACACACTTCTCATATAATAACCTACGGGCAAACATCCTCATTCCAGAAGATAGAAAAATAACAAAGAGGAATTGAACCTAAGCTAGACCTAAACCTAGCAGGGCAAACAGTAAATCCTGTAGCTCCCTGTCCAGCATCTAAGGAATGTGGTAACATAATCCGAGCTCCAAACGACTTGGGCATCCCTACCCTCAAGCCTTGCCAGTTATGTAGCCCAGATGGCTGTCTCTCAGATTGGCTGTGTGCAGCACTGCCTGCAGCTTTCAGTAGCAGATAGTTCATGTTCTTGTATCTCAAATTCCCTGAACTCTCATTCATCTTTGTCATCACCCTCATATTTTCACATACCTTCAGGGTTCCCCACAGAACAGCATCTTGTAGGCAGTGCTGTCTGACACCAGCTCAACAGTGCTGGGCCCCTTTGGACCATGGCTGCAGCAGCCTCAGAGTGCTTGGGCAGCTCAGCATAGCAAAATGAATTCTATGAAGATAACTTCCTAGGGCATCCTTGTGCAAGCAGGATGCCCCAGAAGCATTCTCTTTTCAAAAGACAGTCTTTGAAATAAGTTGACATTTTTACAGCCCTGAGCATTCAAGGAATGGCTCAGGATCTTGCTGATTCCCGAGGTGCCCTCAAGGCATCTTTCTGATTGTCTTACCACAAAGTATTTGTCTCCTTTTTAGAGGTACTTTTTAGAAAACATGCCTTCCTTAACCCCAATGTTTTGTGGGCTTTTCTGACCAAACTGCAAGGTTTTCAAACCTTTCCACCCTCCTTTTGCTCCCATTTCTCACTGTAAATCTGACTGATCGCAACAGCGGTGGCCTTACAATTCCCTCCATCACATTAACTAGTCCGCCACCTTTAAACAAAACCTCAAACAAAGTCTTGGGGTACAGACAAAATTTAGACAAATTATTTGCCAGAATGTAACACAAATGGCCTCTGGTCCAATCCTCAATAGAGTTTTCATTCCCATATGAAAACTCAAGTGCACAATTTTTAGTGTCCATATTCTTATTGGTGTACTGTTCTGAGCTCCCACAAACATCACCAAGCAAGCCCTGCTTGAAGAATTCTAGGGCCTCTCTAACCCATATCTCCAAACTTTTCCAAGTACCATGTACTGCTTATAAAGGCTTCTGAACCACATAGCAGGTAGTCGTGATGGCACCACAACTCCTGGTACTAATTTTCTGGTAGTTACTTTGTCTTTGCTGTGCCAAAACTTGGGGGAAATCATTTAAAAAGAAGAAGGATAGCCTTTAGCTCACAGTTTCAGAGGTTTCAGTCTGTGGTCAGCTAGCTCTGGTGTTTCTGCTCTGTGATAAAGCAGAACACCATGGCAGAATAGTATAAAGAAGAAAAGCTGTTCACCTCATGGCCAGGAAACAGATATAAGCAAAAGCAAGCCTGCACTAGAAGGCTTTCACCTCCTTCTACTTTGGTTCCCTCTAGGGTCCCACTCTATTGGATCATGCTCCATATTCAAGGTGTATCTTTCCCCCTTTAGTTGCTGTCCCACATGCAATTCACTCTCCACATGTCCTCAGAGCCATAACTGGAGGCATGCTTTACTAATCACCTAAGCATCTCCCAAATGAATCCTAAAGAAACAACTTCCTAGGTGTCCCTGTATAGACAGGGTGCCTCACATCAATCAAATTGACAATCAAGATTAACCACTACAGTCAGTATGCTGGCATATTATGTAATCTCAGTGCTTGGAAGGCTAAAATAAGAACTCTGTAAATCTGAGCTCCACCTGAACTATACCACAAGTCCTATCTCAAAAAAATAATATTATTATTAACCATCATAAGCAGCTTCCCAGTCATTCTACATTTCCCCAGGATGCACTATGGATGTTCTCAGGTCCCTCTCATTGCTTCCTCATCAAATGGCTCTCCCTTTTACCTGCTGCTGGGGCTGCTATGTGTCAGTTGCTCTTACGACAACTCTACTTTTTTTTTTTTTCTAGCCATTTGAGGCAGGATCTCCCGATAGCCCCAGCTGACCTGGAACTCACTATGTAAACCTCTTAACTCACAGAGATCTGCCTGCCTCTGCCTCCCAAGTGCTGGGATTTAAGTCATGCGCCACCATACCCAGCTTGACAATTTTGCTCTTAAAGAAAACACTTCTCTTCCCACCTCAGAGCTGGCCTTTCACTTAACTACCCATAGTGCAGGTAGTAAGCCCATACAGTAACTTTTTATATTAGGAATTTAAATCAAGGAATAATTTAAAGCTGTCTCAAAAGTGGCTGTCACAATTCTGATAGTAATCTTGACATTGAATCTGGCCTAACAGTTATTCCATATGTCAGAAACCCATTCAGCCACTGTCTGAGACATACAAACCTTGTCTGTGCCCTGAAGCCCCCTTCTATTATATCTTCTCTTAAAAATAGCTTTACCTTGCCAGGCGTGGTGGCATACGTCTTTAATCCCAGCACTTGGGAGGCAGAGGTAGGCGGATCCCTGTGAGTTCAAGGCTAGCCTGGTCTACATAGTTCCAGAACAGCTGTGGCTACAGGGAGACTCTGTCTCAAAAAGACTAAAAAAAAATAGCTTTACCCAGGATAATATAAAACAGAAAGATCCAGTTCTTTTTTTAAAAAAACATTTTATTTATTATTTTTATTTTATGTGTATGAGTGTATTGCCTGCATGTATGTAAGTGTACTCATGTCGTGCAATGCCGTGGAGGTCAGAAGAGGGCTTCAGATTCCCCTGGAACTGGGGACGGTTTGTAGCTGCCAGGTGGGTACTGGGAATTGAACCCAGGTCCCCTGCAAGAGTCCTCAGTGCTCTTAACCACTGAGCCATCTCTCCAGCCGAGATCCAGTTCTTTTAAGGGAAGCTCCCTGCTACTCACAGAGATGCATCTAGCCCACGACTCACAAAAGGACAGCACCCCCAAAAGCAAGTAGCAATCTGATCTTCACACTTTATAGGTTTTTCAAACTAAATAATGTTATGGGAAGAAAATTGTTGAATTCCTACTGAACTGTCTAAGCTTAGTGTGTTAGTCAGCTTTCTGTCCATGTGACAAAATACCAAAGACAAGTAAAGAAAGAAGGGTTTTTGACTCCCAGTTCCACAAGTGTCAGTTAATGGTCACTTGATTATGTTGCTTTGGGCCTGTTGTGGTCCAGTACATCATGGAGACATACATAATAGAGAAAGCTGCTAACACATAGTAGCCAGGAAGCAAAGAAAAGGGGAAGAGGCAGGGTC